GAGAGAATGGGTTTTTTTTCTTTTTCTTTTTTTTTTGGTTGAAACGTTGGCGAGATCGATTTTTGAAAAACGGAGGATGAAAAGGGAGGATGATCGTGTTTCTTTGCTGGAATGCGGATTGATTTGGAAATAAAAGTTTTGGGATGCAAAACTTGCGAGCTTTTTGTTGTGCGTAAAAATCTTGAAATTTTTGGGATGAATTTGGATAGGAGATGGTATTGTGGGAATGTTAGTGGGAATTTCGTGTGTGCGTTCTTTCGTGAGGGAACGTTGCTCGTTTGTAAACATGGAATAATGTTTGTAGATGGTTTTTGATTATTTTATGTTTCTGTTTTAGATTCTATATATGGTTAATTTGTACTTAATATCTCCAAGTTTCGTTTCAAATATTTAATCATGAGAAATTCTTTTGTAAGGAATTGTTTTCCAGATCTTTTCCTTTCGTCATAATGCTTTTGAGTTTTTAAGCTTGGGAAAAATATAAAAGAAAGAAAATTAAAAATCTTGATGATTTACCAGGCTTGGAAAACAAACGTGTGATTAGAAATAATATATGAATCAATATTATATATTATATAAAAATTCAAAAATTCAATAACAAATACGAATATTCAAATTTATATAAATTATAAATAATGATGATAAAAAAAATTATAAAAGCACTTAAAACTTTTGTAATATCAAAAATTAAATAATGCAATCAATCTTGTCCATTTTGTATTGGAAATAAAAATTTGAATAAAATCATTATTTTTTTTTTGAAAAATAAAATTTATTTATATATTCCAGAAATATATTGTGTACACGAAAATAATAGTTGCAATAAATATCGTCTCGATTTACTTACACGAGTACGCTTGTTACTGGAAACCTTAACCAGTTTCGAATATAATATTTTAATAGCTTTTGTACGATAATACATTTTACACGTAACAACAAGCGAGAAAAAAGGATTATTTGCCAAAATAATACGCGGAACTCGTTCAATGAACAAGAAATCAATTTCGAGGAAGCAAGATTTCTAATTAAATAATAATCGTGTAAAACAGAAATTTAACGCATCGTGTAACAAATTCTATTATTATTAAAAAGACGATAAAAATCTGGAAACCCCTATTCTAACCCTATTTCCCCTAGAAAAAATTATTATTTCGAAATTACCGATACTCGATGTCACGGAGGAAAAGTTTATCCAAGTGGAATTCACGTCAAATTTCGTCGAGCCGAATGCGAATCTCTCCTCGAAACGCCCCCTCCCCAGCCACATTTCAAAAGCCTTCCACGGCGCACAATACACTTCAACAACGTGAAATATGGAGAACTTCCCCCCCTCCAACCAGAGATATTGCATAAATCACACGTTTTCAGAAAAATTTTGTCAAAAAAGGGATAGGATCCAGAATACACGATCCAGAATATTTTTATTTCTCTTCCTTGGAAGAAAAATTCAAACGCGATGAAAACGAACTTCAAAGGATCCGCTGATGCAACGGAGCAACCGGGGAACGGGAGAGGGGAGAATGGGAGGACAAAGATAAAAACACTTGGAAGAGCGCAGCGATCGCTAATCTCATCGAAAGAGCTTTCAAAGTATCGACTTCATCTCTGCCGAGTTCTACTCTCGATGCTAACAAAACTAGGCCGATGTATAGAAGAGAGTGATCTGATAAATTCTTTAAAAAAGAGGGGGGAAAGAGAAGAAGAAGGAACGAGAAGGTTAGGAAAATGATCTCTGGCTCGAGACACTCGACTAACTCGAGAGAAACTGCATTCCGAAACGATCGACCGCCACAGCTTCTTCGCTACAGTCTTGTCATGATTGCCTCTGAGGTGAGGAGAGGGGGAACGGCGCAGGCAGCTCGCCAGAAGACCTGCCGCCTGTGACTCGCTCGCTCGCTCTCGAGCCAGAAAACTCTGTCCAGAACGATTCGTATCACTTGTTACGTGACGGCATGCGGGCCGTACCACGTGACAGCCACGGTGTCGCCACTGTATCATCTCTCCAACGGATCGATCCCTCTTGCGGATCGATTACGCAACTGATTTTCAAGAAACGTCTCCGTTCCTTATTTCCTCCGTCCGGACGTGGATATCCGGAGAGAATTTGCGAAATAAAAATAGAAAAATAGCGCATCTAGAGAAGGAATCCTAGAAAGTAAGAGACTCGGTGAAAGGTTTTAACTTTTATCTTTAAAACTTTATTACGTACGCGCGGGAAGGAAGATGGCCGCCAATCGAGGGGAAAGAACTCTCGTCAATTACAGAGGTGTTCGACAGAGTAATTTATCGGTAATAATTCACTCGAGGATTAAATAAGAGAAGAAGAAAGAAAAAAAAGGAAAAACGATTTGATGATCGCGGTTGTATAAACCGATGTCTCGTGGTTAATGATACACGCGGGGATATTTTTAAATTTCCAACCTAAGGCTTCGTCTGATGAAAACATGATTAATACCTTGTCCCTTGAAACGAATGAACAAAGAGGAATGGAATTACGACCCTCTCTCTCTCTCTCTCTCCAGCGCCATTTTCTCCCCTCAATTAGCGACCTATTCTTACCTCGCTCGCTTCTTTTTTTCTTTTTTTTCTTTTTTACACAGTCCCGGTAATTCAACGTTTCACAAAGCGGTCTTGTTAGAAAACGAGGGCGAAGTGTGCACTTTTGGCCGACTTGAACGAGTCGTGGAATGCCCCCACGTCGGAAATTGATGTTCCTTAGGAATCGTTCGTAGGAATCGTCGTGGCGGATTCAAAGGGGGGAAAGTTCTAAGTTGGTAACAGGGCGGTGGGGAATTAATTCGCCGAATGGAATCTTTGTTCCGGGAAACGGAGCCACGGAGGCCAGTGAAAGTGAAGTTTCCCTTAGAAACGTACGGGACAATGGTTCGAACAACCAGTCCGCCAGTGTCAAACTCGCCGGAAGCTTCTCCATTTACCGGGACAAAAGAGGATCGCTAATCCCGAAATGAATCGAGATCGTCGATTCGTCGAAGCATTCAAGAAATAGGGGAAAAAAATAGTAAAAAAATAGTAAAAAGTAGGAAGCTCTTTTCGTTTCTAACGATACAAAGATAAGTAATGATACACGCATAATCCGTTATGTATAAAACAATAAAAATTGTGTTCATCAGCTTCGATAGTTCAGTTAGCTTCGATAAATTTCGTAAATTTTGTAAATTAAATTGTAAATTATCGTATAATTGTTAATTTAAAAAGTTTTGTAAATTATTTCTGTTATACTGTTATTGTAAAAATGGTTGTTTAAAATTGAAAATAATCAAGAGGTTGTGAAAGATATTTTTAAAAAGAAGATATCACCTTCCGATTTCGATGATTTTTTAATATTGTTATCATTATACCGAATATTCGTTTAGTTAATATTAATTATAAATTGTTTCGAAAAAGCAAATATTTCAATAACATTTTACGAATTTTCACAGCTCGAAGCGACGAGGAAAAAAAGCAAATTATCGAGATGGAAGATATCCTCTATAAATAATTACTTCTTCGAAAACACGATGCTTCGCATAAGACTTAATAACTTAAACAACGAAAACAAATGATAATTATACAAATTGTTAGCGTGTGACATCATCGATATAATCTATCATCTAACACCAAGATAACGTTGAAAATATTTTAAATAATAAATAATTAAAAATTAATAACAATATTAATAATATTATTAATAAATAATTAAAATATTTTAAATAATAAATAATTTTAAAACACTAATCTCATCCTCTCTTTCGAGACATCGAAAGGAAACTTCGAAACGACTGTTTTCATCTCCTACCCTATCCTATAAATCCACTGACCCCGTTTCCCTCCTCCTCCTCCTCCTCCTCCTCCTCC